TTAGGGACGGGGTACTGAGGACATGTCCTCTACACCAAAACCAACATGCCTACAAAACAGGTAAATCTACCGAAAGTGCACTACACAATGTGGTAACACGCATAGAAAGTGCAATTCAACACAAGGATATTGCCTTAGGAGCATTCCTTGATATAGAGAGAGCCTTTGATAGGCCCTCATTTGATGTAATCAAACAGGCTGCTGTAAGGCATGGCATAGATCCCGCAATATGCAGATGGATCAGTGTTATGCTGGAAAGCAGAATCATAGCTGCTACATTATGGGGAGAAACCCTGGGGGTGTCCATGTCTAAGGGATGTCCACAGGGGGGTGTACTTTCGCCTCTGCTGTGGAGCCTGGTCGTCGACGATCTTCTGTGGGGACTTAATGATGGTGGGTATTATACAGTAGGATATGCTGATGACATAGCAATCCTCATAAATGGAAAATTCTTTTCGACCATATCAGAGCGTTTTCACTCAGCTCTATACATGGTCCAACGATGGTGTGAAAGAACAGGTCTCTCCATCAATCCCAACAAGACGATAATCATACCGTTTACTAGGAAGAGAAATGTAAAGGGTCTTAAGGAACCGATTCTCTTCAATAAGACAATCAAGCTCTCCAGCGATGTGAAGTACCTTGGTCTAATATTAGACAAGGGACTGACATGGAAAAAGCAGCTGGACAAAGTCATTAACAAAGCCTATAAGGCTTTTTGGACATGCAGGGGCATGTTTGGTAAAACTTGGGGACTGCAGCCACACGTATGTTGGATATATACTGCGGTTGTGGGACCTGTATTTACTTATGGTGTCACAGTATGGTGGCCCAGAGTTAAATTCAAGACATGCAAGACAGAACTTGGCAAATTGCAAAGGTTGGCTTGCTTAGGTATTACAGGAGCATTTCGAACATCTCCAACAGCTGCACTGGAGATACTCCTTGGACTCCCCCCACTGCATATGCAGTTGGATGCAGAGGCCAGGGCAGGAATTTACCGTCTCCAGTGCTGTGGACAATGGAAACCTAGATCTGATGGTTTCGGCCATGCAGACATGACTCAGGACATGAAAACAGAACCCATATTACAAATGGGGTCTGACAAATGATACTGAGACATGTATATGAAAAACCCTTCACAGTCAGATTTCTCTGAAAGGAGTGAATGGGAAGACGGGTTTCAGCCTGACAGAAAAGGGGGACTGATAGAGGCACTGGAGCTAGTGTGTACTGCCATGGTACGAGGCGGAAACTTAGTTTCAGCCTTGGGCGGTACACGACAGTATTCCAGGCAGAAGTATATGCCATGAAACATGTATTATGGAGAATTTAGATAGGAACTATAGAAATAGTAACATCTACATTCTATCTGACAGCCAAGCAGCACTCAAAGCACTTGACAAACACCAGATCAATTCAAAATTGGTCTGGGATTGCCACCAAACCCTCATGGAACTGGCCAAACATAACAGGGTACAACTGATATGGGTGCCGGGGCATGAGGGTATTGCTGGAAATGAAGCAGCAGACCAATTAGCTAAAATTGGAGCTGAACATCCATTCATAGGACGTGAACCAGCCTGTGGCATCTCTCTAGAAGTTGCCAAACAGGCAATCAGGGACTGGACTAACATAAGACATAAGAAATACTGGGAAACAGCCACACACGGCCTGTGTGAATGTGAGGGTTTAGCTTCTTTAAGACTACGTCACTTGGGTCAGTACTTTATGGAACCAAGTGACTATTTCGACGCCCCCACGTCCAAAATCCTGCACTTCATCCGAAGTGTGGGGTTGCTGAGGGAATAATTAAAAAGGGGAAGCACAATGGATCACTGAGGTCTAAGTGCAAGGGCCGAGTAAGCCTACCCCTTCATACATACATAGTTTATTTTTTGTTGTTTTTCATTTCGTTTTCTTAACTGTTTCCCTTATTTTCCGGTGCAATTGGCGGTGGGATTAGGCTATGTCGATTGATCTGCGTTTGAATTGAAATATTTCGTCAGTATTTTTTTTTTTGTTTCTTCTTTGTTTTCCGGTTCGTGTTCTTTACTTTTTTAATGCTTTGCAATTTGATATGTTTTTGTTATAACTTTCTTCTTCAGTGCAGTCGTTTCCATATTAACGCTAGAACAGACCGATGCGTAGGATAATAGGTTCCGTTGCGTAACAACGGATGAAACCGGAAAGTATACTTCCATGGAAACGCGAGTATCACAAGAGATTCCGAGTGAAGTCAAAGCAGAAACAGTTTCGATTTATTTTCATTTTGATTTAATTATTTCGTGTTATGTTGCGTTGGAATTGGGCTGTGTCGTTTACCATAGCGTTCATTTCGTGAGTATAGTGTATTTTTCATTGTTCTTCATTTCGTTTTCTTTACTGTTTCCCTTATTTTCCGGTGCAATTGGCGGTGGGATTGGGCTGTGTCGATTGATCTGCGTTTTTTTTGTTCTTTGTTTTCCAGTTCGTGTTCTTTCCTTTTTTAATGTTTTGCAATTATTTATGTGTTTAAGATAAGACATTGTATAAATATCTATATATATGCAATAACTTTCTTTCTTCTTCATCGGTGCACTCGATCTGCTTTAGTTCATCCAAATAATGCCTCGCAGAAGATCAAACTTAGGTCGTCGTACTCGCGGAGCGGAAGCATTGCGTCGAGTAATTTCAAATCAAACTGGGGAAGAACGGGCAGACTGAGCCACAGCGAAGCGTGGCCGGGCACAGCTAGTTATACAATATTTTTATATCTACAAATATAAATAAAAAATTCAATTGAAATTTCATATACTTATTTTGTCATTGAAGAAAGCAGTCTTCTGGGATGTGATGTTAACCGACGTTTCGGAGGATCGTATCGCCGCAATCTTCAGGGTAGAAGGAAAAATAAAATCTGCAAGCGAAGAAACAGTGAGAGCAGGTGCAAGCAGACTTAACTGATGTCGGAAATAAACTCAGCTATATGAGAGCAAGAAAGGAAGGGACAAATCTGTATGGGAAACCATAGGAGAGGGGGAGGGGAAGGGTCTGGGGAGCCTACGTATTGCCTATTACTGGCCGTCTCTCTCACATTCCTGACAAGTTCTCAAATCCGTGACCAACTCGTGGATGGGCCAGTATCATTCTTCTGTTTGAAAACGCCGTGGTCTGTAGTCCGCAAGAGAACTATACCGACTGAGACACCACCGCTTGTCGGCGAAGTTAGTGCCAACTTTTGCGGATAGAGGGTGTCGCGTGGTCAGCGCAACGGATCCCTAAGGCCGCTAATCTTGGTTTTCTAGACCTTGAAATAGCTCCTCGGATATCCTAACGAGGCTGAGTGGACCCCGTTTCAGACCCAATACACAGAAAATGTGGTAGCGCCGGGAATCGAACCCGGGACCTCTTGATCTGTAGCCAGGTACTCTGACCACTAGACCACAGAGGTGGTCTTCCATAACACTAAGCGCTGTTTATATCTAATCGTCTCGTTTTCTGTATCATCTAGCAGTCGCGTCAACAGAAAAATGAATACAGATTTTCTCCCTTCTCTCCGTCTTAGGCTAGTCGTCCATTGGAAGCGGAAACCTGCGAACTGGGTCTTTTCGTCCGAATTCGTGCGTTCCCTGCGCGTCATTTGGGCGCTTGTTCGGCCGATGCCATTCGCGTTCTGTCATGGCGCTGTCTGAAGATTTATATGATCTTCACGCGTTAGATACTCCTTTACTGGCTAGGCGACGAGCACAGAGAAGTAGAAAAGAGTGGATTAGTGAAATTTTATCAAAAAGACAAAACGTTTGGTGAATTTTCTCATATGGAGTGATTTACAAGAGGACCAGTCACAATATTTTGGTTATTTTCGCATGAAGCAAGATACATTTGAATACATATTAAGCAAAGTACATTAGTTGAAGAAGTACAGTAACTTCCGAGAAATTGTTTCACCTGAAGAACGCCTAGCTGTAACTTTAAGGTAAGGATTTGATAAGAATTTGAGAAAAAATATTACATCGATGTTACATTATTCTTGCTTTTTATTGACTACATACAAACCATTGTTTCTACAAAGGTTCGAAATTACTACAATACACAGCAGCATTGTTCTGGTGTGTTACAAATTCATTGCTGTGGGAACTATTACGAGAACTGCGAGTCGATTCAGAGGATAGAGGTGAAACATTTGACGTGGACATCACACTGCTGTTTCGATCCTCTTGTTCCTGCAGTAAAACATCCATCAATTTCATGCGTACTCGCAGCTTTCTTTCTTCAGGCACTTCCTGCAAGGATGGCAACAAGCTCGTCAGAAACTGATAGTCGCTATCCTGCTTAATTGGAGAGTATTTTAAGAATTTGTCATCGTAATTCTTTTCTTTCCTCTTTTTAGCGGACTTTTGAAATTTTTATTTTTGCCGGAGACGCATTTACAGGTGCATCATTTTCTCGAGAGGGATCCGAAGTAGTATTCTCCATATCTGGAGTAGAAAATGCATCATTCGATTCACTTTGTGTTGTCTCAATACAGTCTTCCGAAGCGGCAGGAACACTACTCGACATATTTCTCGGTTGAACAGTATCAGTTAAAAATCGTAGGTGGTTGAAGAAAGGCCATTTAGGCTCAGCTGACGTGTCTCCTCCACTACCAGATCTCTTGAAGTTGTATTTATTTAGTTCCTTCCTGAACGTGTCCCTCAGTCCTCTCCATCTCTTCATAACGTCCTCAACTGAAATATCAACAAAAATACGGGAAATAACACTTGCATACCCCAAACAAGTGATAAAATTACAATAAGTACATTATTCTTTTCAGGTGTCTAGCAACTGGATCGTGTAAACTGATATGGGAATCGTTACACAATGAACACATGCCATTTCCTTCGGAAGAACAAGTAGATCGCATAGCCGCTGCATTTTGTAAAAATGGACATTTCCAAATTGCGTGGGAAGCATAGACGGAAAGCATTTTCGAATTAAATGCCCACAACATTTTGGTAGTATGTTCTTCAACTACAAGAAACATTTTTCTGTCGTATTGCAAGCAGTGGTAGGAGCCGACTACAGGTTCATTTGTATCGACATCGGAGCCTATGGAAAGCAGAGCGATAGTGTTATCTTTGGTCACTCCAACTTAACTAAACAACTCGAAAATGGCGCCCTTAAAGTGAACTGTGAGACTGAATTACGCGCCCCCTCTGTTCTAGTTGGGAATGAAGGGTATCTCTTGAAACCATTTCTGATGCGCCCATACCCTCAACGAAATCTAGGGTCCGAAGAAGAAATTTTTGATAAACGTTTGTCACATGCAAGGCAAGTGGTAGAGTGAGCAATGAATGGAGAGTACTTCTGAAAGCATTGGAAGTCACTCCCGAGCGAGCAGAACACTTCGTAAAATGTATCTGCTTGCTGCACAACATTGTTATAGACTAAGAAAGAATGACAGAATTACTACGTCCTACACTTGTAACAAGAAACGCTATTGTAAATAGATTTGCAACCAGAGGTGAAAACAGGAGTACTGCTAGAGCTTATGGTGTAAGAGCCATTTTAAAAACTTATTTTATAAACAATCCTCTCACAAAAGAATAAAATGAACTTAAAGAAGAATTGAAGTAAGATATTTACCTGGCTCATTCATTTTTGCAGACACCTCGCTTCATAACTCATGCTGCACATTTCGCATGTGATAATTCGACTCTCGTTGGTCCCATATGTACTTTCTTGAACCAGGAGTATTAACTTCATTGTACAGCAGCGCAGCTGTTCGTCCGAAAAATCCAAACAAATCTGAATGGTTCGCTGGACGCGGTCCAACTTGATCTGGCTGGTTCGGATCGTTCGGTCGTTTTCGTGCGTGTTCGGACGAATACCACATCGCAGGTTTTCGCATGTTTCCGCGTTCAGTGGACGAGAGCCCACAACGTGCCATTTTCACTCCCATCAGGTGTCACCATCTACAGGGCAGTATAATAAGCAGGCAGTCGACCTTCGCTCATTGCCTATCTCGAGGCTTTCATTCACTGCTGTAACATAAGTACTGAAATAAGCAGTTCATCTTTTTTAAACTAAAGTATTCTAGGATGGAGTTGGATTGGGGGAAATGTACGTAATTGAAGCGTTCCTCCATATGAGACTTAGTGCAAATTTTCTGGTAAAGCCGACTTAGGGATAGTCTAATGCTGAACTCCGTTTTGTAGTATAGTCGAAACTTTCTACTCTAAGTGCACAAGTTGTGCTTTCTCGTTACATACAAATACTTTGGCCAGCATAATGCCCAATAAATTGTGATATGTTCGGTTTCGCTGTTTAAGTGATATTAACCTGCTGATTCTGTTGACCGATAGTGATATGTACATTGGACTTCGCATCCGTTAGATTTGGATTTCAGGGTTTCCCTGCAATAAACGTTTGGTTGTGGAGTTCGAGATTTATTTTTGTTTTCCGATTTCTGTAGTCTGTCTTGTTCTTTAGAGTGTCAATCATTCCAAACTTCAAATTCTGTTCATTGCTGAACGAATTCATATTAATTCCAATGCTCCCTCGTTTCAAACTTTAGTGTTNCTTCTACCCTGAAGATGGAGGCGATACGTTCCTCCGAAACGTCGGTTAACACCACATACACACGGTGCCAAATCCCAGAAGACTGCTTTCTTCATAGTCACCGCCGTGAAAGCCTCAAATCTTATTTAATGTTGATGTTAGGCGTATTTATTACTTGTAAGTTCCGTTTCTTGTTTCTCATTTTTACGCGTATCTACCCACGCAACCCTCTGTAATGTTAGAGGTGTCAGAAATAAGAATCTAATGTACTACAGAGTGGAGAATATTGTAGTAGGATTTGTCATTCTCATACTCGAATGGTAATCACGTTTCTCGAAAAGTTGAAATGTGGGTAATAGTAATTCAGTTAATGAACTTTCGGGTTCCATAAAATGCTGGGAAATTGTTGAGTAGCTGCAGAATTGGCGGTTCCTCCAGAAGGGCTCAGCTCCATGAGTAAGTAAGACACAATAGATCACTGTGGTCGCGGTGCAAGGGCCAAGAATGCCCACCCCTTATACATTCATTCATACATACAAGTAAGTAAGTAATTCAATTAATGTAATTTTATTAAAAAAACTCCGTGGCCTTTAGTCTGCAAGCGAACTGTACCGACCGAGCAACCGCCGCTTGTCGGCGATATTAGTGCGAACTTTTGCGGATAGAGGGTGTCGCGTGGTCAGCGCAACGGATTCCGCGGCCCATTAATTAGGGTATTTACGGTTCGGAGTTCAGTTGAGTCAGTGGGATCAAGGATAACAGAAAGATTGGGAGATAGGTCGATAACTATAGTACTGAATATTAATGTCTACCAACGCTTAAAAGAATTTTATTGTCTGTAAAATTGTTGCTACTGCAACACTTTCACTTGTTGATAACGTTTAATGTCATTGCATTAGGTTCGTTAATGAAATGTTACGGCGATTAAGCAGCACTGTTCCGTTTAATGTGGTTAGCAGAATAATTTGGCGCACAGTTATGCAGTTTCATCTTATATGAGTAATTGTTACAAAGATACCGGCTTCACGTTTTGCTGAAGCAATTATCTACTCTTTTAATCCAAAAGAGATGTCGCCAGCTCGGAGCTTTTTATCAAGGTATTAAAACCCGTCCCAGTAGACCAGTAAAATGTCTGAAAAAATTGTCTGGACCACTAAATTCGCTTAGTGGGGGGTGGAGTACAGCTGGGTCCACTCGGCACGGCGGTCACTGATTGGTCTGTTGTAGCCTGCCCCGGGTGATTATGATGATGGAGAATTTGGTGGAATGAAGATTGGCAGGGGAAACCGAAGTACTCGGTTTGTCCACTTTGTCCACCACAAATCCCACTTGACCAGACCCGCGATTGAACCCGGGCCGCCGCGGTGGGAAGCCAGCGACCAACCGCTTGAGCTATGGCGCGGCCATTACGGACCACTAAGTTATGTAGGCCTATTTTTTTAAACCTATGTGATATTACCAGGAGGTTGGAGAAAACTGCATAATGAGGAGCTTCATAGCTTGTATTCTCCTCCAAGCATAATTAGAATGATCAGGTCAAGGAGGATGAGGTGGGCAGGCCATGTAGTACGAGTGGGGGAGATGGGGAATGCATATAGGATATTGATGGGAAAGCCAGAAGGAAAGAGGCCACTGGGAAGACCAAGGCGTACGTGGGTGGACAATATTAACATGGATCTTAGGGAGATAGGATGGGATGGTATGGATTGGAGTGATCTGGCTCAGGATAGGGACCGGTGGAGGGCTCTTGTGAATACGGTAATGAACCTTCGAGTTCCATAAAATGCTGGGAAATTCTTCAGTAGCTGCACAATTTGCTTCTTCTGAAGAAGGGCTCACCTCCATAAGTACTGTAAGTAATGTGGTATTACCAACATTTGGGACATACTGTGCCATTTATAGCATAATAAATCTAAAAGCATGTTTTCAATATATATGGAAACAATTAATTAAATTGGAAGTAAAATATTAAAAGTGAATCATCATTGGACAAAGTTTTAAGTTTTATTAAACAAATAAAGAATATGATATAATTAATTTTTACTTGCTTATTTAATTTTAATTTGTTTTGGTTGGATAATTTTTAATTTCATTTCATTTAAGTCTGCTTGCGGACCACAGGATTAGAAACGCTGAAATAGAGCATTTTTGGGGGGGGGGTTGGATTTGAGAAAGTAATAAGAAACTAGACATAAGTTAAAATACTAAAACAGCCCAAAGTGTCATAGTTCAGGTACCCAGTTTCCTGCCGTAAAAGAAGGAAGGATGTCGCCTAACCTGGCTAGTTGCTCTCTATGTTAATGTAAAGACATTTTGGTTAAAACGAGTGCAGTGGCCCGTATGAAAAGCAGTTGACTCTGCTTGGTGTCGAACGGAGGAAAGTACTCGAAGGACGTGTTCAAGCCTTTTTGTTTTGTTTATGTGAATTTGCTTTGTCTTTTGCATGTGTTCGAAATTGGCGCTTAATATACATGCCTGAACTGCAAGCCTTTTGCTCCAAGACAGCTGGGTCACTGGAGCAGCTGATTTATTGGGCTGTTGTGTTTGTTCGCCTTGTGTTCGTCATTGATACCAGTCCAATGGGGGTTATTAACCTTTTGTCCCATTATCTTGCTGTCTTCAGGAAGTCCAGGAAACAGTTTTGAGGCTTGCAGGAAACGTTTGATTGTAGACCAGAACAAAGACCGGCCAAACACTGAAAACTTGAATAGCTGTTGTACTTTATTCACGAATGTAGTGTATTTTTTTATTGCTAGTGGGGTGGGACTAGGTCCCTTGTACTGCGACAATTTCTGGCCTATTGTACCAGCCCCAGATGATAGGTGAGGGTGATTGTGGAGCAATTGGTGGAATGAAGATTGGCAGGGGAAACCGAAGTACTTGGAGAAAACCTGCCCCAGCGCCACTTTGTCCACCACAAATCCCACTTGACCAGACCCGCGATCGAACCTGACCCGCCGCGGTGGGATGTCAGCGACTAACCGCTTGAGCTATGGCGCGGCCGGGGCGTATGCTTAGAAAGTGTTGAACTGATTGAGTGCAGGTATTTATCCGTCCAGTATAGCTTGCACTGAGCTTGAAGTTAATATGTTTTACCTCCCTATAAAACCTTAATAAAAAAAACCTTGGTTTTGCCCATATACAGTTCAATAATGATCTCATTATGACCTATAACTTTTGTTTAAAACATTTTTAAGTACTTTAAAACTCAAAGAAAGGTAATTTCTGACATTGCAGTGTAGTGTGTAGATTTTACTTCAGTCCATTTGATGCTAGGCTGCCTATCTTTACGTGTATAACTTGCACTGGGTTCACATGTTTAATATGCAGCAGTATATGTTCGGTACTCGGCGTGTTCACGCCATGCCTGTTCATGCAGAACAGCCAGTCAGTATGATAGAGTTAATGTGATAAAGGTTATAATTTTAACTACCAACAATCGGCTCATTGCGAACTGGGTTTTCCGCATTCCTCACCCAGTGCCTTGTCCGTGCATGTTGTGAAGGAAGTTGCTTTTGGGGCCCCTTTTCCGACTGGGAACATGGCCAGGGTTTGTTACTATTAACAGTTTTTCCTGGTTATTTTTAATACCCTGTAGTATTAATCGGATAACCACAGGGTTGTCACTGGCGCATCGAGTAGCATACTCGCATAAATATTAATGGATATATTTATACGTAGTTCCGTTTGGTGCATTGTCTTTGGCTGTTCAAGCACTGGGATTACGGGTCTAATTCGCTACAGCACAGGTGAACAAAGCAGCCCCCCGGGCCATACGATTTACAGAATTTGTTACCTGCTTTTGTTAAATGAAAATTAATTTAAGCTAATCTTTATTCCTATCGTAACCACGAGTTTTCAGTAATCTACGTAAATATGTTATACTACGCTGTGAACAGAACTGTTAATAATTACATAAGCGACCGTTTTCATTACAGTGACACGGAGATTTCTCATATCAACTGTGAAGACACTGAAAATTGTTTTTATTTTGACAGGGGTTGGGACGGGATTTCTGTTCCCCTGGGGTTGTATTATGGTTTGCGCCGGACCTCGCCACAGGAGTAGGATGCGAAGTCTTATGGTGACAGACCTTGCAATGGTGTGATCCTTCACCACAGAAGTTGTGTAGCTTATTTTAAAAAGATGTTGGAAACCATCTACAACACGAGCCCGTTGCCCGAATCTCATTGTATTGACGAATAAGGACGATTAAAATGATGATAAA